ATTCAATAGATTGTCGGGCGTGCTTCTCGATGCACTTTTATATACTGCAAGTGAACATATTTAAAGCCTTAAAAAAAAAAAAAAAAGCTGCGTGGCGTAGGCAACTGAGATTAATAAGAATTAGGCAAATGGCTTCTGCTTTTGTGTCGATGAGATAGTACCAGCCGTCTTGCGGTCACACAAAGGCTGCCATTTAGCAGGGAGCACTCCCTAATTCTCTTGGCAGGGGTGCCATTGGAATCGGATACAAGTGGGTGGCACAGGGGAGGAGCCGCCAAAGAGGACAAGCAGGCTTTGTGTATTAAAAATGAAACAAAAGCACTTTATACCCTGCACTGGGTGCAACAAGCTGGGCTGCTTGTGAATCAGGGTGGAGTTTGAAATCTCAGTGTTACAGGGAAAGCACCCCTTCCCCCCCCCCTCTTAAAAAGCTCTTCACTGAAATGCTGCCAGATAGCTGAAAATGCCCCAAAATATCTATTGAACAATAGTTGTGTTACTTTTTCAGGCTCCGTGGTTGTTTTTCTCTAACTCGGAAAGCTTCAAATTGCTGGAAAGCTGCTTAATTTTTAAATTAGATGTATATTTTCTTGCTGATAAAGAGCACTAATCTCCCCAGAAAGAGAGACATGCCATTTCCTCCCCACTCCACACCCCCTTCTTTCTTCATAGCTACATGCCCATGAACTGAGATTTTTTTTATAGTCCTTGTGATGCCTTATTTGCCTTGGTTTTTTTGTAGTTCATAACTCTTAGTGACTAACTCAGGCCTCTGCTTTATTTTATACAGCAGTTCACTTGCCTCTGCTCCCAACACCTACCTAAGAACTAAAAATAATGCAGAATTAAAGGGTTAAGGACTGTAATTTTCATTGGAAATTGTAGGGGGTGGATATTTTTAGTTTCTGATCTTTGGCATGCCACATTTTTAATGAAGCAGTCACGCACACAATAAGCTGCATAAATTTGAAGGAGAAAATCCTACTAACTTTAAAATAATAAACTTGATTTTCCCATTTCCAGTGCTTTAGTTTGAGCCTGCATGTATAGTACGTGCAGAGTAGATCTATAAAGTAGGTATAATATTCAGAGTGATAAAGTTACAACTGGATAGAGAGTTGGCTGTAACTAGATCAGGAAAATATATTACACTGGATGATTTAAGTTGCAAACCTGTCAGTAGTTTTTATTAAAATGTAATTAGTGTGTTATGCACTTCATCCTATTGATCTCCTGCAAAATTTTCTTACCCTGTCAACTTGAAGTAAATTACCCTACTGAAGTAAGAGAAAATGTGAGACATTCTTCTAAATGTTTAATACAACTTGCAGGTCATGTTCATCCTTGGCGAATGCATTTTTGTGTGTAGACTGACTGGACATGGCTGGGAAGCCTGTGTTTTCATGCACAATTATATCCATACTCGTAGGCGAAGACAGAGATGTCATGTTTCAAAAAAGACCAGATTTCTTTTGACTTTATAAAGTCATTCATGTGACGGGTGGATAATAAAACCGTTATTTGGATGTTCAGTGCAATTGGTGTAGTTTCAGATAACCACCGGTTTTGTTTTACATGTTTCATTATTTCAGAAAACAATTGCCAACCTTGTGTTGCCTACCTCACTTTGTAAATAGTTCTTGTCCTGTATGGGCATCAAGCTCTGATTATGTTTCACTGAGAAATACATAGACCCAATGCACAGTAAAAATCCCTTTGACTATGTAAGGCCCTTGTCTTGGTGGTGATATAAATACATTCACTATGCCATTTGCCTGTGTATCATATTACTTCTTTGACGATAACAATGTGAGGCTGTCATTATGTGATGCTCCAAGTCTTGGAGACTGTACACGTAAGTAACCTTTTAGTGGCTGTTACAGTTGAGTTGCTTATTAAATAGGAAAAGTGATTAATCCCGCTGAAGAATAATGCTTCATGTATGGATTGTTAGCATTTGAGATTTCTACATGTGTTTATTCTTGTTTATCTGCTTATAGTGAGCTCCTTTCACTTGCCCAAATCATCTCAGCATTACACTATGCATACTGACACAGTTGCACTTCCATCTGGATGAAATACTGCGAGCATGATGTATTACTTCCAGTAAGTGCTAATGGAAATCTCAATAGAAAAAAAGACATCGTATTTAGAAAAATGTTTGTGTCTAATTTTGAAAATATTTCATCAGGCCTTCTGTTTGTTTTTGATTTTATAGTTTTAAAACCCAATCAGTGATACAGAGTCTGAGAACCATTAAACATGCTGCTTCTACATCTGCTTGTATCGATAGATTTATTTTTTTCCCTTTTAAAGTGAATATAACAACTTTTTTTCAATATTACCATGGAGTAATGCTCTGTACTTAGTGCATTTTTGGGAGGCATATTTTTGGCCCATTGTGTCTGTCTTAGGCTTGTCTTTCACATATCAGTTCATGTTGATCTTGCCAGTACTTCACCTCTGACAGCAATCTGGATAACAGTGTGGATTGAATTTTCCCATTTTTTATCATTGCGTTGCTCTGCTCATTAATTTCTTTTTTTTTTCATCATGATTTTCCTGGTATCTGGTTACGTTAACACCACGTTTGGCCTTTCCCTCAGCAGGATATTGCAGTGTTGACCATTATCCAGGGAGCTGGAATGCTAGCACAGCGATGTAAGCGTGACATCTTAGTTTGATTCAGTAAACAATCCCTCTTTTTAATTATCTGATTTTTGAATAGCCATAGTCACAGACAGTAGCATTCATTCTGCAGTGCTCTTTGTTAGACATTTGATTTCACCCCATGAACTTCCTAACCAGTCTCAGATGTCCAGTTTACAAATTACTACTGTAATTTGATTTTCTGTGTTGAAATAACTTCCCTGAATTCTCCTCAATAGAATAACCCTCTACTTGTCCATATAATCACCATAAATAAGTACTGTAGTAACTGGTAAATTGTGATATTTGGGACTTTATGACTGTTGTCTCTACTGAAGAGGTTCATCACTTCCATCACTACCTAAAAAATGTAGCAGAGTAATGAGACAGAAGAAAGGCAAGGATTTCTTCAGGTGATGTCTTTTATTGGACCAACTGTGTAGACAGGAGAGATGCGTTCTCAACCTAGACTTGAAATCAAAAAACCTTGTTCCTCTCTTAGGTAGGGATCTTTCAGGCCAGTTTGTTGTTTTTTTTGCCTAACTGCCTTCTGAATTTTTGAGTGCCCTAATTAGAATATATTGATCCAACATTTTCCGTTAAGCTGCAGAAACTAAGTAACTCTAAACCTCAGCCCTAGTGAGACATGCAAAAGAGGCACCTCCTCTGAAAATCTGAGCCCAGATCATTTAGCCCCCCCGGATGACAGATGCAAATCGCTGTGCTCCCCGAGAACTGCTCCATATACGACGAATGCAGATAATGTTATTTTCTCCAGCAATTTCCAGGCACCTTACAGGTTAGACTTCACACTTACGAGAGAGAAGAATAGTTTTCCGTGAAATACTCACGGTGACTTTTGAAACAAATCCCTTCGTTATTTGAGAACTTGGCGTTCCATTCCATTGGACGTAAGGATCAGTCCACTTCCGGGTGATTGTTTCCAATAAAAATCATAGTTTCTAAGCAAAATCCTCAGTTTTTGAAATTTCATTCCAGTCATTTCTTTTTTTGGCCTCAAAACATGAAACTGTCACTGCGTAGGTGACGCACAAAATTAAGTAAGAGAATATAAACGCTTGTTTAATGGTACTCTTCCCGTGCATAACAAATGAAGGGACTGAGGATTTACTGAAATGTGAAATTGCCTAAAATTTAATTATGAAAATATGTTTGCATTGTATTGTGCAGAGAAAAATAAACAATCATTTCTCCAGCTCCAAGTATAACAGTTTTACCTATTGGCAAACAAGGCACAGTAAGGTTTACATGTTCTACTCAGAAATGAAACATGCAGTGATAAATGAAAAGAAAAAACTAAAAGCCGTGGAGCCGCACTGGCCTGTTCCGTAACTCCCAATTCTGGCTGCACACAAGCTCAGGCACGTGTTTGAAGAGGCCTCTACTCCTCCCGTTGTGTATATATTGTCCTCCGGTGGGACAGATTTCTCACGACCGTTTCAGCCACCAAATCACAGGGTATGGTGCAGAGGTAGAAGAGCAGCAGTTACTCTGATCTGTAATACTCCTACTGATTACGTGAAAGAAACTGGGCCCGTAGCACGTGTCCCACATGCAAAAGCTAATGATATACAAAAGGTATTTCTGTTCTGTTTCAGTTATGTTTCTCTTTTTGGATCTTGCCTTGCCTTTCCTTTTCAAGTAAGATTTCTGTCGGAAATTCATTTTTGAGGCTGTCAGAGTGAGTTATCCCTTTATAAATACAGCTTTTAAGGATGTAGAAAAATATATAGGGTGAAATAATTGAAGGGGGGGGACCTATAATTGACTTCAGTGGGGCCGCACCCCCTCCCCCCGCCTCAAAATAATAACAAAAAAATATTCAGGAAAACAAAATATGAATTTATCTTTTTGGGTGAGTTATCTAGGGCCTGAAATGTAAAATCAGCAGTAAAACTTAATTTTAGAGCCAGATTCACCCATGCTATACCTACAGATATGCACATGTGAGGAGATGCACTGGAGTTGGACCAGCCCAAACTTAGTGAGAGACCAGAATCAGGTCCAATGTAATCAGAGCAGTCACAATTTGAAAAATCTCATGACTGATCATCGAGTCTGCTCTATGGTCCAGGCACAGACATATTTCCCTAATAGGGGTTGCAGCATAGTTATTAATCCAGCAATGTTCTGAAACCACCAACAGCCTGATCTTTCATGCACATTTCTTCTGAAAGTGTAAGAGAGAGCAAATTTGTATGATATGCCTTTGCATGCCACTCGACATAGGAACTAGAACTAGAAACAAATAATATCCAAATAGGAACAAGTTAAGACACAAAGACGTCTTAAGTTTGCTCATCTGACAGCTCTGTTACTTTTGATTGCAGGTATTCGTCCACAAATAATGAATGGCCCTATGCACCCTCGTCCCTTGGTGGCTTTGTTAGATGGAAGGGACTGTACAGTAGAGATGCCAATTCTGAAGGACTTGGCGACTGTTGCATTCTGTGACGCACAATCAACTCAGGAGATTCATGAGAAGGTAAATTTAATGTCGGTCTTTTTTTTTTTTTTAGATTATTTTAGGGGAAAAAGAAATGCCCCATTTCAACATCATATTTATTTTCCCTGTTGGGAAAATGCTGGTGATGTTGCTCTTTAATTTGATAAACAAGTGATAGGTAAGCAATAAAACGATTTGAAAACCCAGATATATGTTTCATGAAAATTTCATTTAATCTTCTGGATCAAAAATTTCTACCAAATATATCAACATTTTTCATTTGAATTTTTTTCATAGCAACACACAGAGAACTGCTGCGGTGTCAGCGTTACATTGTTGTCAGTGTTGCTTTATAAGCTGCTGTCACTGGCAGAGTTTAAATAATGAACTGTAGTAGAGGGGTCCAGTCAGTTAAAACAGCCAGTTCCTCTCTGCATTACTCCTAATACTGTAAACCTGAAAGAAGATACAAGCCTTCTCTAACAAGGTATTTGCAGTCCAGTATACCTACAGAGGATGGTTGATCCCAGTAATCTTAAATACCTGTGCTAGAATTATGTTTCCATCCTTCTCAGATTGCAGAAGAAGGTTTGAAATGATTGGGGGTCATTTCGGAGACCTGAGAGAAAAACTGAAGATAGGCTTGATGCAAGTGAACTCTGAGACCCTTCCAATCTTAAGCATGAGTAAAGAAGGGCAAAGGTTGTTATAGGAGACTCATTAATGGATGTACCAACAATGCAGAGAGGAGAGGTTTGTATTTCCCAAGCACTCAGATAGCTCTTTGTGGTGAGAGCTGGTTAGGGTTTGATAGTTTTCACTTAAGAGGAGTACAACCTCTCGAGTTCACCCATAACAGAGCTTGTTAAATGGGCTTTAAAGTATGTAGTAGAGGAAAAGGTTAATGCAAACATTCTGACTGATATTATACTTCCAACATACAAAATAAGGCAAAAGAAGTGTGAGTAGCAAACAGCACGTGTTTGTCAAGAAAAAATGTCACTAAAAAAACCCGACTGCTTTTTAAAAGAAGAATGACTGATGAAAGGAGCAGAATGAATGTGATTGGTTGAGCACAGTGCAGCCTTTCACTTAAGCTCAGTAGCACTCCTTTGTCTCTCTGTTTGGATGTAACGTAATAACGTGAAATGCCGTGTCCAGCCAGTTCTAGGATTTCAGGGAATGTTCTCGTTGTCAGTGAGCCGAACCAGGGTGATCTTGACGAAAACTGAGAAGCCAAAGGGGTGAGTGGGGAGCCAGCTTCCATTCCCATTGCCTACTTACTGTCTCTAAATCAAAGGATGAATTGATGGCAAGCACAGGCACCTTCCTGCGTAACACCATTCAGTTCTGCCCATCCTTACAGCAGTTTGAAATGTTGGCATCCCAGCTGACTGCTTTCCCAGGCAGAAAGAAATATAATGGCAAGACACGTGCAGTGCCCCTGGCATGAGGGAAGTGAGACACGCTGCATGGGGAACAGGGGTGTAGGTTGGTTATAGAGCTTCAGGGGGAAAGAGGAGGCATACAGCCTCTGGTATATGCCGGAGAATGTGAGACAGTAAGATGGGGGGGTGTAGGGGCACAGAGCCCCTGGCATGTAGCAGAAAAAGGACACCGAGACCCTGGCATGATGAGCGTGCAGGGAGTCCCTGAACTTGAGGAAGAAGAGAGGGTGATACACACAGTGCTTATGGGAGGAAAAGGAAGAGTGCTAGGAACTCCTTTTATCTGCAGAATGGTATCTATGTCTGCAGGAGCTGTGATGGGTGCCCATCAAGTTAATACTTGTGCCAAGGGAAGCATGCTACATTCTTCCCTATTTTATAAGTGGGCGGTTTTTAGTCTGATTCCAATAGGTGAGGTCAGGGGATCACTAATCTGAACATACCAAGCTCTAGGGAGCATCTTACAAATTGAATGTTTGTGTGAAATGTGCTGAGCACCCTCAATTCCTCTCAACTTCAGTAGGTACGAAGACGACTCGGGTACCACACTGAGCATGCTCAGCCCCATGTCGGGTTAGGCCCATTTGTTCCATCAGTGCATCCCTGTTCCCAGTCTTGCCAGTCTCCCATGACCAGGATTTTCTTTCATCCTTCTGTTCTGTTCCAGGTATTAAATGAAGCGGTTGGGGCAATGATGTACCACACCATCACGCTGACCCGGGAAGATCTAGAAAAGTTCAAGGCCCTTAGAGTCATTGTTCGAATAGGCAGCGGCTATGACAATATCGACATCAAAGCAGCGGGGGAACTCGGTATGATTTAGTTCTGTCCAAATAGCTTCTTCCCCCCCTTACTTGTTGTTGCTTGTTTCTTTTAAATCAATACAAACAGCATTGTTTTTAATAGACTTCTATGCAAAGGGATCTTTGGGTTAAATGTTCAAAGGTGTTCTGATTCTGCCTCTAAAACTGTAACCATTGCTGTCTATATTAAAGCTTATGCCTGGAGAAGGGTGGGGCTGCGAGACACCACACAACTCAATACCAAAACCTGCTTTTTAAAATTTGCCCCAGTGTCTTCATGTAGTAGACTTGTGTTTAAAAGCAGTTGTTGTGAATGTTTGATTGCCACTCTTCTCACCAGTCTGTCTTGATCTGATGATTGCTTTTATTAATTCTGCAGGGTGGCAAAATGTTCCATCTTCTTGTTAGCATGGATTGCTCCATCACGCTTAATTTGTATGTGCATTTTTAGTTGGCTCAGCCTTTTTAATTCAAGCATTAGCAATAATTGTGTGTCAAAATTATAAATACAGATTGAACCAAAGAACACACACCTCATTATTGCCTTTGCTTGGACTTAAGCTGATGAAGAAGAATTACAGGCATCTAGTACCTTACAGGAAGCACTGGATGTGTCCCATGTCCAGGCCCAGAAAACAGAAGTGACCAGATTTTCAGAAAGCAGCATTTCAAATTGTAGGCCTTTTATGTACACACAGCCATTCATGCCTGTAGATTCAGTATTATGCATGCAAACTACATTTGCAAACCAGCTAAGTAGTTACAGTTCTACCCAATTTACATACAAATGCAGATTTCTTATACAGCTCTGAGGATTTGTGCGCACAGAAAACTGTGGTAGGTTAAGTTGCATCTGTAGTGCAAGTAGCTATGATGAAATCACTGTTGACAATTTGGCCCAAGAATGCAATCCATCAAGAAGTACTATGAAAGCTTTCCATAGGGTTTCTTATATTAAAAAATTGTCTCTGCATTTAAAAAGCCAAATCAAGTAATCAAACACAATAGCGTAGTCCTTTCTTCAGCATTGCAAATTGGGTGGCCAAATGATTGTCTTAAAGCAGAAAATGTAATGACTAGCTACAAATGTAGCGTAAAGTTTAATTGGTACCACTTTCCATATGGTAATATTGTTAACTGTATATAGATTTTTAACTCTTTATAGTTGATAAATGAGAGATGGAAAATATAGAAACTAGTCTTGGTTGTATCTATCATCAGAACACTGGTGACCCAATTTTGAGTTGAGATATTCATACACCTTTAATGTATATTTTTTTCCCAAGCATGCACTCAACTTTCTCTTGAAATAATGACCATAATTGCAATGAATCTTAATGTTTACTCCAAGTTGCTAATACATTTTAACTTGTGAAGCTGAAGCAGGGATCCTTTTACCTTAAGCAGAATTCCAGATGAACACCCTGAGCTGCAGAAAATTCAGAGCCATCTCTCCACTGTTTCCTGTCTTCTTCCAGTGATTCCAAAAAAGCAGAAATTAATAATGGTCCAAGAGTCTGCGCTCCTCTGTGATGGAGCTGTTTTTGTTGTACCTTAGCATGATTATGATCCCTGTAGTCTGCACACCTGCTCTGTGGCAACAGAGTAATGTTTGTAAAATATTGTCAGAGCCTACAGGTTTGAAAGATTCTTTTTCTCCCCCCGGCTAGTCATTTCTACCTGATCTCTCACTGCGGATAATGATTCTATTTCTGCTTTCTGACCACAGGTTTTTCATATCAGTTTTTTTTTTTTTTTTTTTTTTTTTTTAACATTAGTGAAAGCTTTTTTGTTTTATCATTCTGATGGGAACCAGAAAGTGTCATTTAAAAAATGTTCCCACAGGTCTACTGAGAAACAAGCTTCACTTTTTCATGTCCCCTATAGAGATGTGCTGTACCCATATAAAAGAAACATTTTGTTCACCCATGAAATCAGGCTGTGCTTTGATACAAAACTTTGTAAACTTTTGAATAACAGATGTGCAGCAGTTTTGACAGATTGGAAAAATGCAAGTATCCCTCAGGAAAAGTATTTATATATAGGCGTCAAACCATTTACCATTCACTGCTGTTAGTTAAAAGCCAAAGCTACAGCTGCTGACATCTCATTGCCAGATTCTACTCTCATGTGTATCAGTTACAGATATTAATGGTTAAACAGATAAATGATGGCTCTACTGTCATTTGTAGCTCTAACAGTAAACTTCTGAGCAATGTACAAATATTTTTGCAGTGGCTGTGCTCAAAAGAGGAAGAAACTTGGGATTCTGTCACTTAACTGCATACGTGTGTGCATGCATGTGTGTATGTGTACTATTGCAGATATTTAAAAATTTCAGTTCTAGGACAGTGAAAATCTGTTTTTTGCCTTTGCTGAGTGGGTCACAGTAATGAAATAATAGCCGTTTTGGACTTATGGGGAGGGGAGAACAGTAAAGCCAATGAAGGAAGCATTCTTCCAGCCGTATTCCCTCTTCTTCTAACAAAGATGAGACGGATGGAAGGAGAGGAAGATGGGACAGGGGTGTGGGAGAAGACTGCTGTTGCAGTCCAAAACCAAGGGGAGATGGACACTTGACTTTGGAAAACAAATAGGTCTTTCAGAGTTCTCCTTATCGTTTGAAACGGAAGGAGAGCAGCTGCGAGTACAAGGCCAGAAAACACAGCTCTTTGGTGCATCTTTAGAAGCACCCTGATTGGTGTGCTGTCCTGTGCCTCGTCTCTGGATACCCGCCCCTGGGCTGCTTTCACCTAAACACTAGGCCTGTGCGAAGCGGCAAGTATTCGCTTCGGATTCAGCCGATTCAGAGGGACAGTGATTTGATTCGGCGATTCAAATCACTGACCCGATACGATCGACTGAATCAGATCTGAAGATTCAGCACTGCTTCAGAGATTCAGCCATAAACTAAACAGGCAGCAGTCCTCAACGCTGGACACAGTTGCCTCCAGCTGGTAAGCCTGTTGTAGTGGGTGGAAGGGGAAGGGAAGGGGCGTGGGGGAGGGAGAGATTGGGGCTGAGACAAGCTGCCCAGCCAGGGCAGGGGGCATGCGACTCGGGAAGTGGGGCGAGGGATGTGGGCACAGCAGCACTTGGAGCAGGGGCTATGCCCTGCTGCTGCTTGCCCAGCCAGGTGCAGGGGTGGGGACGGGACCGGATGGGGCGCAGCTCGCTCCAGGCAGAAGGGGGCAAGTGGCAGCAGGGAATAGCCCCCACTCCTAGTGTTGCCATG